TTACAAGCAGAAGGTGGGCAGGGGCCCCGGGGCGCTGCAGTCCCTGGAGCTGGGCAGTCCCTACCTTGACCTCACTGCCCCTGCCTGCACAGAGCATTTGCTGGCATAGCTGAGTCTTTTCCCAGCAGAAGCAGCGGCTGGCGGGGGTCGAAGACCGGGTTCATTCACAGGGGTGCGTGGAGTGGGGAGCCCGGCGGGTGGGGCTCCGGGCTCAGACCTTCGCCTTTGGGGGCCCTTCCCAGCCAGCCTCTCCTCCTCCCCTTTCCCTTCCTCCCCAGCTCCGACCCCGCTCCCTGCCCCCTTCTCTACTTCCCTCCCTGCCCCAGGCCCGAGGCTGCCCTGGGGAACCTCAGACCAGCTCCTGGGTCAGTGTTGGGGGCACCAGCCCTGTGGACCAAGCTATAGGTCCCAGACCGCCACCTCTGCCGCCTCCAGCGCACAGCCCGCCTACCCGCTGGGGCTGGCCTGTGGGGTCCTGCCTGCCTCTGCCCCAGGTTCCGGGTCTGGCTCATTAAGAACCAAACTCCCAGAGGCCTGTTCCTCTGGAATTGCTCATGGCTTAGTTTCTGCTCAGTTCATGAACACCAGGGTGGCTCCAGCCACAGGACTGAAGGGTCCCGTGGTCGGGGGGCCCTCATAAGCATCCTGTGCTGGGGCGTCTCCTGCCCCACCCCAAGGCAGGCCCTCCTTGTGCCCTAGAAACTTCCTTGAAAGGAGCCCACCCTCAGGGTGAGGCAGGGCTGCCCTGCATTGTTATATCCACCCAGGCCGCCCTCAAGTTTCTTTCTCCCACACACGCCCCTGCCCCCTCCTGCCAGCTGTGGGTCCGCCGGGGTTGAGGCCCTACCCACCCCATTCACAGCCCCTGCTTCCCTTCAATCCTGGGCTCTGAGAAGCCCCCAGCCCTGGGCCCTGAGCTGACACGGACACGGCTCTCATGGAGCCCAGCGGCCCCTCGGCGTGCAGTGAGTGCCCAGCGGGGCCTGGAGCAGAGTCCTGGGCTTCCCCGGGGCCACGTGGGGACTGTGCACGGGCAGCGGGCCCCCCTGGGCGGAGGGCAGGGCCACCTCCCCGCCCAGCTGTAGCCTCACCGCCTGCCCTGGGGCCCAACCTGTGGGCTGTGGCACCCTTGCTTTGACCTTTCCTGGGGCCACCCTGGGGTGTGCGTCCCCCTCCTAGGCACCTGTCTCCCCGGCTGCGGCCCAGGTGAGCCTGGCGTGTGGCTGCCCTCTGGGCCCCTCGGCTCGGGGCTGCCCTGCCCTCCACGTGCATGGCCACGGGTCCCTGGCGCCCGGGACTTATGGGGCCCCTGCTGGGGAGGGGGCCTGGGGAGCAAGGCTCTGCCTCCTTGTCTGGGGCCCTCAAAGGAACTGGAAGGTCCCAGGCAGTCCTTCCGGCTCCCCCGGCCTCCAGCTGCCCAGCCCAGGGCCTGTACTCAGCGGCTCCTGGGAATGAGGGTGCTTTTCAGGTGTGATGGGCACGAGCTCCCGCCTCAGCTGGGGTCTCCCGAAGTTCTGTCCAGCTGGACGACGTGGCTGCAGTTTATTCCAAGGCAGATCGTTTCGGTGGAATAATTAAGACTTGGAGAAGATCGGCCTATATTTTATGGGTGTTGGTGATGGCCTAGCCCTCAAACGCCACCATCCACCCCCCCACCGTGTGTGTGCATGTGTGTGTGCGTGTGTGTGTGTGTGTGTGTGTGTGTGTGTGTGTGTGCGCGCGCGCGCGCACGCGCGTGCGCAGTGGGGCCTCCCCGCCAGCACTGCCAGCCAGGTTTGATTTGCACAGGAAATTGAATTCCAGCTCCACGCTGCACTGTCACAGGATTACTGCAGGACCTGTCGATGGGCGTTTGCTCTGAGCCCCTGACCCTCCTGATCAGTGGTGTTTGCAGCCCAGTGCAGGGTCGCAGCCCCCGGGGCCCCTCTGGGACAGGCTCTGTTGAGGGGGCGCACGTGTGCACAGGGTGGCGGCAACTTCCGGGACCACGCTGACCCCTGGGGCTGGGCCCCGGTCTGCTGTGTAAGTGGGCAGTGTCACTTGGCCCTTCTCCGGCCACACGGCTCCTCCCGAAAGGCTGGACTCTCCCTAGGGCTCTGGTTACCTGAGGACACGGAAGGTGTGTTTCTACTTTTAGAGGGAACGCCTGTGGCTTCCCCACCTTTTTCCCGGCGGTGGGGCGGTGGGCTAGAGGTAAGAATCAAATGTCCCGTCTCTCCAGATGGAACTTGCCCGGGAGCTGCTCTGATGACACCTGTGCTTCATCGCTGCCCGCCCACCCTCCCCATCTCTTCCCCCTCCCTCCTTCCTTTCCTGCCAGCCTGGCCTCCCTCCTCCTCTGGCCCCCAGGCCCCGTGCATCCTCCCTGGGTTCTCGGGAGGCATCGCGTCTGCCCACGCCCACCTGGAACATTGTCTGACACTGGCCTTTGTTTACAACAATCATTACTACTTTTACACTCAGAACAAAGAAAATATTCTGTTTGGGGAAAGAACTTCACTCCCTCTGGAATTTACCATTTTTCAGTTGGCGAGCTCAGCTGCTCTGTCCATCCGTCCATCTGTCTGTCCTCAGGGGGAACTGCTGCCTGTCCTTGGCTCTCTGCGGCCTCTGCCCTGACTCAGGGACTCCGTTTCGTTCTAACCCCCGAAAGCCTTCAGAGCGTCACAGCCGCCCGGCCCATGATCCTCCAGAATGTCAGCTGCTCTCGTGTATTTATTTTTCCGATTGAGCTTTCAAATAAATTCCGTCAAGATCAGAAATAAACTCATTGAAATTTGAGTAGGAATTGCATTTCAAGATTAAATGGGAGGGAAGTGGTTATCTTACCCCCCGGGGATCCTTCACATTTTGTCGTGTTTAGTATATATTGTTCTCATGGTTCTTTTAGTTCTTCTAGTTGTTTTATGTTCAGCTGTTATGTATTATCTTCTGTGTTACTGTGAATATGTTTTATTTTCCAGCTTTATTTCCACTTTACTGGGAACGGTGGCTTCTGTGCCCCGGCCTGCTGCACCCCCTCCACCCCCACTGCCCTCTGCCTGCCCTCAGCTGCTGAGGAGGTGGGTGGTCCCGGGTGTGGGCGGAGGGTGGTGGCCTGGCTTTGCTGGCTGTGGCTCATCCCTGCCAGGAATAGTGAGGCCCCCTCCTGCCTTAACCAGGGGCGTTGGGGGCTAAATGTGCTCCCATGATGCTGTCCGTGGGGCAGAGGTGGGTCTCCACTCTCGACTGGGGTCTGCAGAGCCCCCTAACAGTGGGCAGCCAGCCAGACCGGGCAGCATCAGGAAGTGAGTGTCGAGGCATCTGATGGGCACAGCCCTGCAGGAGGAAAGGCTGTCTCCTGGGAGCGGGGGCGGGGCATCCGTTGGCGAGTCCCAGAGGCCCTGGCCCTGGATGCGGAGCTCTGCACAATGGGCGGGACTTGGCGTATGAGCCGGGGCGTCCAGGGCTCCTGTCCTGCATTCCAGCCCCTCTGGCTCCCGGGGCCTTTTCTCGACTCTGGGTGGAGTCCTGCCCTCACTGGCCAGGCCTCCTCTCACCCACTGCTCTGCATACCCCACACCCCACGGTGCCCCTTTTTCCTCTCTCTGCATCTGCACAAAGGCTGGGCTGGAACTGACACAGGGGCTGCTTCTGGGGTGCCTGCCGCAGTCAATGTTGGGGTAGGAGGGCCTGGCCACCCTCTGCCCTCCCCCAGCCCAGACCTGTCAGGAGGCCGTGGGTTCCGAGTCAGGACACTCGCTGTGAAATAGGGCAGGGATGGGGGCTATTCTCCAGCTGTGAGGCCCAGGGACCCTTTTCTGGTCACCTGGGCCCAACCTGGGGGTGAGATGCTCATCCCCGGCCCCTTGCTCCTGCAGAAGGAGGGCTGGTTGGGTGATTATTTGGGGAGGGAAGGAAGGCACCAACCTCAGGGGATGAAGTGGCCAGAGCCCAGGCCCATGGCTTTGTGTTTCTCCAGTTTGTGGGGAAAGAAGTAAGATGATCCCAGCCATCCGAGGAGTCTCCTGCCCCCCCGGACCCTCGGGTGGACCTGGAGGATGGGGTGGGTGGGAGAGCAAGAGAGTGGTTGCAGGGAGGACAAGTACCGTCCTGGGGGCCCTCGGCCTTGCCTCTTTTCCCGGGCCCTGTTCTCAGGCCACCCCAGTGACGCCACCTTGCCCAGCCTCCCCCCGCTGCCATCTGAGTGAGAAGCCTTTGCTTGCAATTGCTATGGCAACACCTCGCGGGTGGCAAGTGATCACCCTCCCAAGTGCTGCTGTGACATCTTGCTGAGTTAACCCAGGAGGAGCTGTCTGGGGTTCCGTGCATCCCTTATGGTGGAAACGCCGTGAGGAGAGGGCAGCTGTGGCCGAGGGTGTGGAGGTGTCGGGTTCTGGGACTTGAACCTGGCTGTCCACAGCCTCCACCGGGGCTGCTGGAGACAGCTTTGCCTGCAGCCCGTCCTCGGCCCTGTGATCCTGGTGTTTACGCTGGCGGCGAGGGCTGTGCTCTGGCCCTTGCCATCACCGTCCAGCTCCCTGACCAGGCTCGAAGCCCCTTCTCCTGAGATGTCCAGGCGCCGATCTGGGCTCTGGAGCTCAGAAGCCTGTGCCTGCGTGCTGTGCCCCGGACGTTCGGCCCAGCCTCCGTGTTCCCAGCACACCCTCGACTGCGACCACACAGGTGGTCTCGGGGGCCGTGGGCAACATCGTTGAAGGCAAGCCGTCCTGCCGCCCGCCCCCTCTGCCCGCCGCTGCCCACTGCCCACTCAGGGCAGGGCCAGTCCATGGCTGCAGCCCAAGCAGATGTCATGGATTTGTCCCCATTGTCAGAGAGCTCCGCCCCCAGACCTTCGAGCAATGGTGTTTCTTGACTCCATTAGTTGGGACATACGTTGGCTTGATATTAACTTTTTAAAAAAAATTAGAGTAAAGTACACATAACATAAAATTTACCACTTTTAAGCATACAATTCAGTGGCATTAGGTACATTCACACTGGTGTACAGCCATCATCACCTGGGGAACTTTCTCATTGTCCCAAACAGAAACTCTGTCCCCATTAAACACTAACTCCCTACCCGCTCCCTGAGCCCCTGGTAACCTCAAATCTACTTTCTGTCTCTATGAATCCAGCTAATCTATGTATCGTGTATAAGTGGAATCCCACATTGTCACTGGCTTAACTCATTTAGCTTGATGTCCTCAAGGTACATCCATGTTGTAGCCTGTGTCAGAATCTCCTTCCTTTAGAGGCCGAATAGCATTCCATTACGTGGACGGGCACATTTTGCTTCTCTGCTCATCCACTGATGGATTGGATTCTTTCCGTCTTTAGGTGAGTGTGAATCGGGCTGCTGTGAACCCGGGTGTACAAACACCTGTTTGGGTCCCTGCTTTCAATTCTCCTGGGTGCATACCCAGCGGTGGATTGCTTGATCATATGGTGCCTTGTGGTATTTTAATAGTAGAGCTTTAGCTGTGATTGTGAGGGGGGGTGGGGTGGCGCCCTCGGGTAGTGTGGGGTCTCCGCCGAGGCTCAGATGCAGGCACTGGGTCTGGAGAACGTTTCCTGGACTGAGCTGACAACCTGTCCCTGTGGGACCAAAGGCCCAGGTCAGCCTGCCTGAGAGCCCAGGGGGGCGGAGGCCTGGGTGTGCAATTAACGTTATGTTTTTACTTTGCTCTCATTTTTTAGAGATTACCTTTTATGTTAAATTTAATGATTATATAAGATACTTGCATGATGTCAGGTTAAAATCTGTAAGACAAAGTATAGCCTCCACTGCTGTTCCTTCTGTCCTGTTTCCGCCTTCCTCCTACAAATATCCCTTTGTTTTTTTTAACATGTTTATTGGAATATAATTGCTTTACAATGGTGTGTTAGTTTCTGCTTTATAACAAAGTGAATCAGCTATACACATACATATATCCCCATATCTCCTCCCTCTGCGTCTCCCTCCCTCCCTGAATATCCCTTTTGGAAAAGCTTGGTTTCTGTTTCCATTGGTTTCTTTTCACTATATCCGCATGGCCTGCTTCTTAAGTGCCCGGTCACCTGCTGTTCACACGCTCTCTACACTTTGCTTCTGACTTGACGGTGTTTCTGGAAGGCATGCTCTTCGTTCAGAACCACCCCGATCCCTGCCCTTTGCAGCCGCACAGCCCGCCACGGGGTGGGCATGCTGACGAGCTCCCATGGCTGCAGCAACACACACGCGCCACCTGACAGTCGTGGAGTCAGAAGTCTGAGACTGGTCAGCCCTGGGCTGGAGTTGCAGTGGGGCAGGGCGGGGCCCTCCTGCAGGTTCGGGGGAGCACCCGTGTCCCGCCTTTTCCAGCTTCCAGAGGCGCCACGTTCCTGGGCTTGTGGCCCTGCCTTCCTGAGAGCTCCGCTCCTTTGTCGCCTCTTCTCTGACCTCCCCCCTGCCACCTCCTCTGTCCCTTCGAAGGGCCCAGTGGTTACTCTGGGCCCACCTGGATCATACAGAGCAACCCCTACATCTCACCCTCCTTCACGTACCCCCATCGGCAGGGTCCCCTTAGCCACATGAGGTGGCACGTCCGCAGCGTCCAGGGGTTGGGACGTGGGCACGTAGGGGCCCGTCGTCCTGCTACCACATGTGTTCCTGGTGAGTGTCAGGCTGCTTCCTAGCTTTGCGACCACAGGCGGGGCCGCGGGTATCATGCCTCACGCGTGACCCGGCGCGTCTTCCAGTTGGTTCCTAGAAGCGGGCTGTGTGGGATGCAGGACGGATGCACGTGTGATGCCGCCAGACACGCCCGCCGTCCGTTGGGCTTGTGCGCCCCTGGGCCCCTGCCCAGGGCTGCTGCCAGGGCTGGGCCTCCGCCAGCCCGACAGGTGAGAAATGGCATCTCGCATTTCTTTTATGACAGGCAAGGTTGAGCATCTTTTTAAAGTGTTCGAAGACCATTTTCACACCCTTTGTCCCCTTTTCTCCTGGGCTGATGGTCTTTTTTATTTTTAAAGCCTCATTGTATTGGTGATGTTAACCTTTTATTTCTCAGTGAGTTGCACATACTTTCCCCGTTCATTATTTGTCTTTCACCTTCGTTGCTGTGGGTTTTTCCTTGTGTGTAGTCGTGTCTGTCGGTCTTCCTTGTTGCTTTCAGGTTTGGGGCCACAGGGATGTGTCCCCCCTTCTAGCTGTAGAGGACCCCATCCTGTTTCCTTCAGCACGTCTGTGTTTCCCTAATCATGTTAAACCTATCATGCATTTGGAATTTATTCTGCCTTGTAAAGTGTCATGAATGGATCACATTACATCTTTTCTTATGTAGCTGTTCGGTTATCCCAACGCCATTTTTTCATAAAAAGTCTATTTTGTCCATAAATTTGAGACGCCGCCTTTGTTATGTACTAAGTATCCTTTGTTATGTACTAAGTATCCTTATGCCGTTGGGTCTATTTCTGGATTTTCCCTCCTGCCCCTTGGCCTGCCTGCCTGTTCCGCTGTAGGACCGCACGTTATCACGGAAGGTGTATATACGCGCTCTGACACCTGGTCAGGGCTCACGTCCCTGCCTGGCTGTTCTTTTAAAGTTTTCTTCTTGGCTATTTTTACTTGATTGTCTTTCCCTATGAATTATGTGACCAACTTGTCAGCTCCAGGAAAAAAAAATCTGCCAAACGTGTAAGCAGTGTTCAATTAAAATGAAAATTACCCCCCGCCATTTGTCCCCAACTATTCCAGGCCTTGGAGGCGCTGCTGCGGCCAGTGGCATGTCACACGGAAAGCCCGGGGCTGCCCTGGTGCCCTGGGATCTACAGACTTTATTCCTTTTCATGCTTAGATCTAATTCTATTTCTTCTTTGTCTGTCTTAAGTCGATTATGGGAGGACGCAGCTCAGAAGCCGAGACCAGTTCCATTTGAGGAAATGGTTTCATGGCACCGATGCTCTCAACCTTGGAGGCTGCTCATAAAATGCCAGAGGCTTTCTGGCCCTTTGCTGCTCTGTGTGAGCTGCGGCCGGGGTCCCTCTGCACCAAACCCCAGCGCTTTAAACGGCCTCTGATTGGAGCCTCTCCCGTCGGGGGCTCTGCGGAGCCCGCAGGGGCCTGGCCCACTCGGCCTCTTCCAGCTGGGCCGCTGGGGGCCTAAAGCCCTTTTCGGCTGCCCCTCCAGAGAGCGTTCGGATGCCACTGACTCTAAGGGGAAGCCCAGCACCGGCTCAAACAAACGTGAATGTGCCCGGCGGCCGTGGGCCTCCGGGGGCCGGTCTGGGCCGCTGGGGCCGCGCTGGCGCCCCCTGGCCTGGGTGGGACAGGGTGGTGAAGGAGCTCAGGGTGTGGGCTGGACTGGGGCCGCCTGGACAGGGAGGCGGGAGGGTGCCTGGGGGAGGCCAGTGGGAGCCGGGCGGGCCAGTGCCCGCAGGCGTGGTCACGGACACTGGCAGGAAGCAGGATGTTCTCACGGCCGTGACAAAGCACCACAACGGGGCGGCCTCAGACAACAGAGGTGTGTCCTCCCGTGGTCTGGAATGGAGGTGGCCGCGGGCTGGCCCCTCCTGGGGCTGGAGGGGAGGCCGGGTTTCCCCTCTCCTCCCCTAGGGTTTTCAGCTGGACCTGAGAATTAAAGTGACGTAAGGCAGAGGAACGGGAGAAAAGCATACACAGTTAATGTAAGTTCACATTCAAAAGCATACACATTGTTTAACGTAAGTTTTGGATGACGCTGGAGCCCTCGTAAGGAAATGAAGACCCAGAGGAGGCAAAACCTCAATGTTTCTGTGCTGTGGGTCGGACAAAGTGGCGACGTGGAAAGGTAACTAGAGTCCGTGGGAGGCCGAGGGAGGAGAAAAAATGCTTCAGCAAGGCCTGCTTGCACAGAATTCTCCCGGCCTGGACTGAGGATAAGATCGTCCACATGGGGTGATTCCCTGGTTGCAGAGGGAAAGGGGGGTGCAGGTGCCCATTGCCCTGCTGCTCTGTGAGGGTCGTTGGCTGGAGGCGATCGTGGCCAGAGTGCACCTTTCAGGGCGTGTCCCACTGCCCTGATTCCCCCAACACCCCCCGTCGGGAAGAGTCACAGCTGTGAACTGCTGCATGTCTCAGTGAACCAGTTTCTCAGTCCTGAGAACAGGTCAGTTTCGTTAAGCAGTCGTGTCTCATTTTAGGAGGCGGCGTTGGAGGGCCTTCGCGCAGAAGTGAGGCCTTTGCATGGTCTGAGCGATCAGCATTTAATGGGAGGTACTTCTGTGGAAACAAAGGAAAAGCCAACTGTCCAGCCGGGCCTGAGTCCAGAGGGTGGTCAGCCGCGGGCACTTCCAGGAGGGTGGTTTCTGTGCCTCCCCGGAATGGGGAGGGCAAGGGCAGCTGGTGGCAGTTCTGCTGCTTTTCCTGGGCTGCGGTTGGGACGTGGCCATGGCGTCGGGTGAGCTCTGAGCAGCCCCCAGCCAGCACCAGGGGGATGGTCCACGTGTGACCTGTGTGATTTCTCTGAAGTTTATACTAAGTCGTCAAGCTTCAGCTTGTAGGGGAAGTTTTCATTTCTCATGATTCCAGGTCAGAAGGGTAGGAGAGAAATTGGAAATGTTAATTGCTGACAAAGAGACGTGGCCGTTGGACACCCCACAGGGTGTGCTGTACTGTTACTGAAACAGAGTTCTGTCCCTACAATCACCCCCATTCATTTATTTATTTATTATTTTATTATTACTAATTTTTTGTGGTATGCGGGCCTCTCACTGCTGTGGCCTCTCCCGTTGCGGAGCATGGGCTCCGGACGTGCAGGCTCAGCGGCCACGGCTCACGGGCCCAGCCGCTCCGCGGCATGTGGGATCTTCCTGGACCGGGGCACGAACCCGTGTCCCTTGCATCGGCAGGCGGACTCTCAACCACTGAGCCACCAGGGAAGCCCCCCCATTCTTAATAGAGATAATGGAAAATTTGTTTGTTTGCAAAATCAGTCTGGTTTCATTAAACTTGGCCTGATTATTGATATCAGTGCAGCAAGAGTAGATTGAACATGTAGGTCTTTTAAGTCTGCTTTGCTGGAACTTTTATGAGGAATTCCAGATTCGACTTTTAAAAGCCTCTCGAGGCTAAGAAGCCAAGCCAGCAACTTGTCACCAGGCTGTACCTTCGGTACCCGTGACTTTGGGTGCGCTCCTCTCTTCTCGATGTCCCCAGACGTCCTGAGATCCCTGGACCTGCTAAGAAGTGACCTTTACTCACTCGTGAGGACATGAGCCCCGTACACCAGGCGCTAGGCCACAACCTCCCGGGCTCCACAAGCTTTGCTCCACAGGGTCCACCTTAGTCTGTGGTCAAACCTGATTCGAGTGTCAGGTGTTTTCGCTGTAAACATCTTTGTCCCAAGCAGTTTCCCTGCACATCTAATTGGCCGTAAAAGATAAAATAACCGGTTGACAGTTTGGTTTGACAGTTGGGTTTCAATGCCGTAAAAGCCAGATTGCAAACTACACTTGAAAATAACAAGTCAGTCGGCAAATTCTTCGTGGGCACAGCCATCCCTGCCACCCGTCAAAACCAAAAGTTTCCCAAACTACAGCAGATGTCAAAGAGGTGGCTAGTAATTCACAAGAGTCTTGGAGAGCATTAATTACCAATCCCGTAGCTAATTTAGATCCAGTGTCTCACGCCATCTTTCCCAAATGTATCATATGCAGTGTTGGAAGTTGGCAGAGAAAGGAGACTCAGCCTCCTCCTGTTCCCTAGAAAGAAAGGATTACGTGATTCCTGATGAGAATACATTTCTTGAAAGTGGTGAAACCTTTTTGCTGTTTGATGGTGGAGAACGTGATGTAGACAGAATTTGGGTGTTTGGCACAGAATCTGGCCGAGATGATTTGGAGAAATACAAGGGCTGAGCGTGTGATGGAACGTTTCCGTGTCGCCCAGATATGTCCTGCTAGTTATGTACATTCCATATATTGGTACAAAACAGCAGCGTCCCTTGTCTGTTCATTTTTCTTCCAGGGAAATCCAGAGAGAAAGCAGATTTTTTTATATCGTAAAGAATTTACATCCAACATTAAATCTTGAATCCTTAATGGTCGGTCGACTTTTAAGAAAGGAAGTTTCATTGCTTTTTCTAAGCTATACCCAAATACAACTATAATCATGAATCTACACACATGTTAAATGTATTCAGATCTTTCTTGCATTTTTATTTTTTACAATAAAATCCTTAAAAATTTTTGCTATTAATTTTCATGTTTCATTAAGTCTCTTTAAATGTCTCTCTTTGTTTTATTTTTATTATTTTATCTTTTATGGCAAAATCGTATTATGGCCAATCAGTTGTCTCTGCTTGCAGCAAAGATTCTTATGGTGAAAATACCTAGAACCACTTGATCCCATGTACATCGTTTTAAAATATGACATTCCAGTGGAAGTCTGGTAACATAACCAATGTTTTAAATTAAATCCTGTTACAAGGAGAACATATTCTGTTGACCCTATATGTAAATAACTATATTGTCATGGAAACAGGACATTTAATAAGAGTTTCTGAATTTTGCAGGGATCAGGGAAAAGATAAATGTCTCAGTTCTCTTTACAAAGGTATACTTTTCCAGATTGCTTAAAGAGAAAGAGAAAAATAATTTCTTAAGCCTGGAAAACAGAACATTAAAAAACCAACAATGCTTCAAACAAAAAGTCATAAAAATAATAATCATCTTCATGAGTTCATTTAGTCCCATGTAATTAATTCTTGTTTTCCTTGATCTTGGATTAGTAGTTTTATGAACCCATCAGTTTTTCCACTAGATTTTAGAAAGGCTCATCTGGTTCAGTGGTGTGGTTTTAGTTACCAGAAACCTGTATTCCAGGGTCCTTGTCAGAGTTCTTTCCGTGAACTTTTTAAAGATGAAGCACTTTTGTCTGAAGTTCATTGTAAAAGCTTTCAGGAAAGTATCAGAGTAAAACAGTAACTATGTGTAAATGACTGAAGTTGAAGAGTAGCCATGGTCAGAGATCTGATGAGTTTATTGCAAAAATGATGCAATTGACATGGAAATTTGGTTATTTCTGTGGCATATAGTATTTTAAGATAATACTTGGAATTATGACTGATTATATAGAGAGTGAGGACACTGAAAAATTTCTAACCACTTTGTATAACTTTGGAAACACTTATACATAAGTAACATATACCCATACAAATATAGAGAAGATTTATCACCAGTTTTAATTTGACAATATTTCCCATGTAATTTAACATATCAAATATGCCTAATTAGTTTAATATCTCTCTTTTTATAAGGTAAGATAATAAATCTTTTGAGATTCTCCAGGGGCCCCCTTGAAAATCCCAAACTTAGTTCAAGGTCGAAAAGACTTTATTTTGAATTTGATTTTGGGAAGTTTGTAAAAGATGTCAAAAAGTTGAAAACACGATTAAATAAGATTGCAGGTCACTATGAAACAATATTTAGCCATTGAACCTAAGTGACAAAGTTTTTTTTTTTACATCCTTATTGGAATGTGATTGCTTTACCATGTTGTGTTAGTTTCTGAAGTGACAGAGATTTTAAAGGCAAATATAGGAAGTCATATACTTGATGAAAAAGAAAATGTAGTCCTTTTGATATTGAGAAGAGTCCGTTTTTCTAAGTAATCAAAGATGTGATAAAGGCAACACGAAGCCCAGGAAATTGTTTGGTTAAGACACAGAATCTTTGTTTTCTAGGCAGATTACTCAAAAGGTAAAGAAAAACCTTTTATGACCTCTTTTTTATGACATCCTATGGGAAGATTAAATGAAAAAGAAGACACAGAATGTCATGTCTAGTCCTAGGACTAGACAAATAAGCCTTTATATAAATTAAGTATTTCTAAAACTCTCAGAAATACAGAAACTAATCCAAATGTTTTTCAAGTTCATGTGATCTGGGATAATCTTTGGTAAATAAAAGTTAAGTCTTTAAATGGCTACCTATTTTAATGTGACTATAAGCCAATGAGACTTTTCATGGCTTAAAACCAGTCAGCCTTTTGTGACTTAACCACGGACACAGAGGCGTCCCGGAAGAGGGCACAGAAGGTGCAGCCCTCACCAGGATCCAGAGCTTCTCCCAAGGTCAGCCCAGAAGAGCAAAGCCCGCCGTGTCACAGGTGGTCAAAAACAACTCGGCCTCTCCTGAACTGAGCACCCTCTGAGCTGTGCTGCTGGACAGGCTACGCGGAGATGTCGCAGCACAGACAAGGCAGTCTGGGGGGAGCTGGCAAAGGTCCGTATGGCTCTGAATGACAAGTGACACGCAAGACACAGGACGGCAGTGACCACTCCTGGGCACTGTATGTCCATGGATGACCCACGGACTCCCGACACCACGCCCCCCAGAGTCACGTTCGCAGACCAGCTCTCACAAGTGTCTCCCTTCTGCCAGCCTGCATTCGGAAGGGAAGAGCCAGGAGGAGTCTCTACCGCCCGCAAGGGGCTCTGGCCAGCGATCCCGCAGCTCTTGTCAGCTCTCCCAGGAACCCCTCGCTTATTTTCATTTCGAAAATTTCGACTGGCTTTCAAAACAATAATGTTAAAAGTGATCTAAGGCTTCCCTGGTGGCACAGTGGTTGGGAGTCCGCCTGCCGATGCAGGGGACGCGGGTTCGTGCCCCGGTCCAGGAGGATCCCACATGCCACGGAGCGGCTGGGCCCGTGAGCTATGGCCACTGAGCCTGTGTGTCTGGAGCCCATGCTCCGCAACGGGAGAGGCCACAACAGTGAGAGGCCCGCGTACCGCAGGAAAAAAAAAAAAGTGATCTAGAAGGGATTTCCCTGGTGGCGCAGTGGTTAAGAATCTGCCTGCCAATGCAGGGCACACGGGTTTGAGCCCTGGTCTGGGAAGATCCCACATGCCATGGAGCAACTAAGCCCATGCGGCACAACTACTGAGCCTGTGCGCCACAACTAATGAGGCCTGTGTGCCTAGAGCCCGTGCAACAAGAGAAGCCACCGCAATGAGAAGCCTGCGCACTGCAACGAAGAGTAGCCCCCGCTCACCATAACTAGAGAAAGCCTGCGCGCAGCAACGAAGACCCAGCGCAGCCAAAAAGTAAATAAAGTTAAGTAAATAAATAAATCTTAAAAAAAAAGAAGGGATCTAGAAAATGCAGAAAGTTCAGGAAAAAATCACTGTGCTGAGGCCGTCTTCACTGACGTCGGCAGCACCCTTTCTGGGCTTCTCTCTGTCCTTCCTGCATGGCAGCCCCACGCAGCTGCAGCGGGCTCCCGCCCTTTTTGGGCCGGTGTGGTCCTCAGCACACAGGCCCTTCCTGTCCTGTCGGGCCCAGGTTTCCCCCCACCAGGCAGGGCCGGGTGATGCTGAGGCCGAGACCAGCTCTAACAGCTTCCTCTGGATCCAGAAACCTCAGACCACGGATGGCCCCCCCTTCTGCCATCAGGCCACCTGGTGGGCACATCGGGGATTTCCATTTCCGGAATTTCACTGCATCTGGAAAATCGGGCCAGGTGGCTCAGCGGTGGTGCCTTGAGCTCCTCTTGGTGATGAAGGTGCTGCCGGGCTGCACCACAGCCCGCGGGAAGCTGGCGCTCCCCTCCCTGGGGCAGCATCCACTAGGGCGAGTGGCGTTGTACTGGCTGGTCTGTGTGATCAGAAGCCGGCTGGCAGCTGGAGCTGGAGCTAATATTATTCTGGGACGTGGTGTTTCTACATCAGGGCTCTCTGGGAGGGAGCCGTTGGCCTTGCATCTCAGCAGTGGCAGAATTTTACTTGTGTTTCTGGCCCACGTCTGCATAACAGCCCATTTTCTTGCCCAGATTGGCAGCCTACAAAGGTAGCACCCATCAGCCCGGTCTCCCAGCTCCAGGCCAAGGGTGGGAAGGAGGCTGAGGTTTCACACTTAAAAGGGCTCGGGGGCCTTTCCCTGCAGCTGAGGTAGGTAGGGCTGTTCTTCCTGCTGAGCGATGGAATCGTGCGGAGCTTGGGGGCAGCCCCAGGGGCAGGCACTGGCCTTCAGCGCTCCCAAGGGACTCAGCCAGGCTGACAGCCACGGAATGTGCCCCACGGCATGTGCAGAAGCTCTGGGGTTCTTCTCCTGTGACCTCGGCCAGGAGCCCCTGTGGGGCAGCCCACCTGCCCCTCTGGGGCCCCGCCGGCTGCTTCCTTCTCGGCCCCTTGGATCTTTGGCTGGGGGGCGGTGGAGGAGAAGTCTAGTGCCTCACCCCAACCCTGCCACAGGCTCAGAAGTCCTGAGAAGGCATTTGGAGAGCAGATGTGACAGGCTTTTAACTGGTGTCATTGCACTTTACCAAACATAGTTACGTAGCCGCCCAGGCCCGGGTCTCTGGCTCCCCTTCGTCAGTCTGCATTTCTGGGTGACATTCTCCGGCCAGGACCGGGCACATGGAGACGCACGAACGTACATTAAGTCAAGCCCGTGCTGTCCCCGGGCAGCTTGGAAGGTTCTGGGTGTGCGTCCCCAACGCCCAGGGCAGCCAGCTGGGGAGAGTGCTCTGGCCATCCCAGGGCAACCTGGGGGCCGTTTTGCTGAAATAGAGGAAAGATTCGGAAAGGCTCACTGTCCTAAAATGCGTGGCCTTTAGGGGCCTTGCAGTGTGGCCACTGCCCTGGCTTCTCTCCTGGCCAGTCTCTGGCCCACAGGGCCTGGCGTACTCAGTGACAGGTTGCCCGTTACGGCCCAGAGCAGCCCTGGCAGCTTGGAAAGCAGTGTTCCATGGCAGTGACACCGACCCTCGTCCGGGTCCCTCAGGGCACCTGAGGGCTGAGTGGCTGCATTTGTTTCCTGGGGTTGCTGTAACGAGTGACCACACACGGGGTGGCTGAAGACAGCACACATTTATTCTCATGGTTCTGAAGGCCAGAGCCCTGGCCTCAGTCTAACTGGGCTAGGATCAAGGGGCCCGCAGGGCCGTGCTCCCTCGGAGGCTGGAGGGGAGAGTCCGTCCTTTGCCTCAGCCCTCCTCCCAGAGCTGCAGCCCCTCCAGGTGTCACGTTTCCTTCTGCATGGCCTGGATCCCCAGATCCACGTTGCAGCCCAGCCCCCAGGGTGATGGTGTTTGTGATGGTTGGATGAGGTCGTGAGGGAGGGGCCCCCACGATGGGAATGGAGTCCTTGTAAGAACAAGAGGCCAGAGCTGGCTCACTCTCTACGCGATGTCACCGTGCAAGGCCACGCGAGGACACGGTGAGAGGCGCCACCTGCGAGCCAGGAAGCACCCTGACCTCGGACGTCCAGCCTCCACGGAATACATGAGAGAAACACCTGTTGTTTGAGCTGCGCAGCCTGTGGCGTTCCGTTGTGGGGCCAGAGCCGAGCAAGACCCTCTTCTGTCTCCGCTCTGCCCCCGCCGCCCCCGCGAGGACCCTGTGATTACGATTAGGGCTGCCTGCACCTGCCAGGACCGCTTCCCGCCTCGACATCACCAGCTTAACCATACCTGCAGCGTCCTTTTTGCAGGTGACGTCACATGCCCACAAAGTCTGGGGACGAGGATGTGGACATCCGTGGGGGCCATTGTTTAGCTGGTCACAGCAGGGAACACGGCCCTGGGTGGACTCGTGCACACAAGGCCCGGACTTGCCCTTGACCACGACCAGTTGGCAGAAGCCTCTTACCCACCGTCCTCACTGACCCCTCACAAGCTCGCGAGCCAGATGGAGAAACGGAGGGTCAGCCAAGTTCAGAGGCCACCGGCCAGCCAGTCTGAGTGGACAGGCCTGAGGGGAGGGACAGGCCCGGGAGGCAGGGCCCTCTGGCCGGGGAGAGAAGCTGAGGGGACATCAGAGCTGCCCTTGCCCACCCACAGTCCGGGGCTCCCTTCTGCACGCACCCTGTCGCCGGCGGGGCCGCGTGGTTTCACAGCTTCGAGACCAGGTGGGCGTCGTTGGAGGCCTGAAGCGATGTGGGTCTCAGGCCGGCGCCCCAGCCCCACCCCCACCCCTCCAGTCCCCGGGGTGGGGTCTTCCTGGGGCGTCGGCCCCGGTGACGCAGCTTCAGGCAGGGCTTTGTGGGCATCTGGGTGGCCGTCGCAGCCCCTGGTGGGGTTTGTGCCCCTGGGTTCGAGGTGGGGCAGTGTGGGCTCGGGGTATGCATAGCTCAGCCGTGAAAGATGCCCCCTCTGTGCCCGTGGGCGTCACCTGTGAGCTCTGCCTCTTGGGGCTCCTGACACGGCCTGTGGGCAGCGCGGGGGTGAGCGTGGAGTCACCTCGAAACCGCAGCTGTGCCCGTGAGGGTCACTGTAGCGGGTAGACGTGGGTGTGCAGGACTCTGGCTGTCTCACCACGTGGGTGCGCCTGGGCCTCGGGCGTCTGCCACCAGGTGGCGCCACGATGACGCTGCAGGAACGAAAGCCAGGGAGGGGCTCGGCGTGCCCTGCCCCCAGCCCCAGCGGGGCTGCTCTGTTTGCCCGAGCAGGTCTGGCTTCTGCCTATATGGGTGTGTCATGTCTACATTGTTTGCATTAAATAATGTAGCTTGACCTTTACCCTTGGCCTTTTTTAAGTTGTCACACGTCATTAAAAGTATTTATAAATATTATTCCAGTGGCTGTATGATATTTCATTGCTCTTACTTGTCCGCGTCCATAAGGATGTCGGATGTTAAGGTGGTTTGAAAGTGTGTTATACAGTTTGTTCACCTGTGAAGAACATCTTTGGAAAAGTCACTGCGTTTCTAAGATGCGTTCCTGCGTGAGGGACGTGGGTTTCACCCAAGGGTTGGATCCAGCAGGTTTGGCCCAAGATCTCGTGCCCGTTGAGACGTCTGATCAGTGCCAGGCCACCTGCCTTTGGGTGAGGCATCTGGGACAGTCCCCCACCCATCTGGAGCTCCAGGATTTTCCACTTCCTCCGGGTCTCTGGCTGTCACTCCTTGAAGATCTGGAGACTGAAGTCTGTGGGAAATGGATTGGGGTTGTCTGTCCTGGGGGGATGGTGTCTCCGCTTGAATGGGGGGCGTGGCACTGGTTCTGCAGCCCAGTATCTTGTTCTTTGACCCTGGTTTCCTTTGTCCGGGTTCTGACTGATGCTCCTTGGCCATGAGGGACCCCAGGCCGAGTTTCTCCTTATTCTGTGCTTCTCACTCCCCTCTGCATCCTGGTCTCTCTGCAAGCAGTTAGCCCCGTGTTGGCAGTGTCGACACTGCTTACTGACATTGCAGCTCGCTGCTCAGAGGGTTGGGATTTGAGCTGTGCAAGGGCCCCACTATCTGAGAGCGTCCCTGTTGTGATGGGGACGGTGGCCTGTGCTTGGTGGGAGCAGCAGCTCTTGCTTCTGGGCTCCCTGGGTGCAGGGCACCAAGCGGGGGGTCCTCTCGTTCATGCCCCATCAACCCTCCAAACCAGTCACTGCCCCAAGCCCTGGGAAGGGGGAGCCCAGGTCTCGGCCCGTGAGGGGCGTGGGCACCACGCAGGCCTAGCCACCCCTGGCATCTGTGCTCTCAGGCCGGGTCCCCCCGGCTTCAGTCTGCACAGGAGACTTATTCCTGCCAAGGACGTGAAATCCGGTCATTTCAGCGTTGTTACGGCCGCGGTACGCGTCCCGGCAGCGGTGCTGACGTGCTCTCTGCCCTCAGGTGTGCATCGTGCAGAAGCGGGACACGGAGAAGATGTACGCGATGAAGTACATGAACAAGCAGCAGTGCATTGAGCGGGGTGAGGTCCGCAATGTGTTCCGGGAGCTGGAGATCCTGCAGGAGATCGAGCACGTCTTCCTGGTGAACCTGTGGTGAGCTGGTGGGGGTGGAGCCCTTCTCCTGCCCCGGGCACCCTCCCCCTCCCCTCCCCTCTCTCCCTGCCTCGCCTCCCAGGAGCTGGCGGGGTGGAGCCTTGTCCTGCCCTGGGCACCCTCCCCCTCCGCCTCCCCTCTCTCCCCCCTCGCCTCCCAGTGCCCTGGGAGGTGTCCACACATACACACACATGGCACTGACGCAGGGCTTCCTGGCCTGCAGGACGCCCGGACTAGGTGTCCACACACACACACACACGCACACACACATGGCACTGACGCAGGGCTTCCTGGCCTGCAGGAAGCCTGGACTTCCCCACAGAGGATGCCTGTGACACATGAAGTTTCTGGCACTGAAGTCCGGGAGGGAGGCTTTTAGCGCCTAAGTCTGAGTTTCCTCCACAAACTGAGCACCAAGACCAGCTGAGGGGTGGGGAGCCTGCAGTGAGATCAACCCCTTCCGCTCTCCCTGGAGTCCTGTGAGCCCCTAGAATGAGACCAGTGTGGCTTCTGGGGGGAAGAGGGAGGAACATGACATGAAAACTTAATTCTTTGTAACTTTACTCTTGAGACAAGAGCCAGCTGATTATCTGAGAGCTCACAGAAGAGATTACAAAGTGGATGGAGGTCCTTAAACCATTGTTTTCCTACTGCCACCATCTTCATCATCTCACCACTGTCTTCTTCTTTATCACCTTCATCCCCAAAACCATCCTCAACATCACCACCGTCACCACCACCACCATCACCACTGTCACCACCGTCACCACCATCACCACCACCACCGCCGTCACCACCATCACCACCGTCATCACTGTCACCACCGTCATCACCGTCACCATCACCACCATCATCACCGTCACCACCGTCACCATCATCATCACCATCACCATCACCACCATCACCACCGTCATCACCACCATCATCACCATCACCACCATCATCACCATCACCACCATCACCATCATCACCGTCACCACCATCATCACCGTCACCATCACCACCGTCATCACCGTCACCACCGTCACCACCATCATCATCGTCACCATCACCACCGTCATCACCACCATCATCACCATCATCACCGTCACCATCACCATCACCACCATCATCACCGTCACCACCGTCACCACCATCATCATCACTGTCACCACCATCATCACCGTCACCACCGTCATCACCGTCACCACCATCACCACCA